GCTTACCTTAATAGCTATTAATAGCTTTAATAGCTAACTATTAACCTAATTCATAGGGGTGTATTAATGTTAAAGGCCCCTTTTAATAGAAAAAGGCTACTATTTATTAGGGACCCTAATAAGCCCTAAAACGCCTTAAATAACTGCTTTTTAATTATACGAAAAGCCTTAAAAGAAGGCTCGCGCTACCACCCCATTAAAGCCGAACCTTTAATAGCTAGATACCGTAGAACCCCTTAAATTAATTACTTTTTAGGTGACCTGTTAGACGACCTTGATATCTATAAATAAGGGCCTGTTTTCCGTACCTAGATAGCTTCAATCCCAAGGACAATTCCACTATTCAATCTGCTTCCATAGCTGTCAACGTGATACTCAAGCTTCATACCTGGAACGAAGACGACGGACGCCAACTGCCGTGGCGGTGCCGATGGCGGGCCTGGTGTTAGCTGCGCCGTCCAAATCACTGGCAACCCCGACAATACGTATGACTTGAAGGTCCAGAACACGGGGGGCACAACATGGTCTGGAACTATGATTGACACTGTTACTGGCGTTGAAACTCACATTGGATCGTGGACTCTGCCAGCAGGCACAAAAGGGCTGAAAGGATCTTGGCAAGGGTTCGTGGAGTGGTGGCCCTTCAATGACCGTAAGAAACCACCAACGTGCAACTTGTTGAAGCGCACTACGGTTTTATTCGGTCCGCCTAGGACTTCAGCCGCCGGTGCTGGTGCTGGAAGCTTGGGCAATCCATTCGAGGTCTTTGAGTGCAAGGGGAAGATTAACTATAAAGCCAAAAGAGTCGGAGGTAATGTTGAGATCAGCGTGGGGTTCTGAGAGAATGGTTCATGGCTAGTTATAAACAGTAGCAAAAGACAATATGGTTTTGAGGGCTTCTGAAATGGCATGGAAGGTTGGAAGGAATGATAGAACATGAAAGCCCTAGGGTTTTTCATCCAGCTGGGCAACTGGCTAGCTAGCAACCTAGTATGGTTTTTTTTTCCCATGGGCATTAGTATACAGGGGTCTTAGTATTCATTTCTCTCTAGTGGCAATACGTGAAGCCTCAGTTATGTAGACGGAGTGACTCAGTCGGGGACGAATCCTGTCAGAGTGGTTATCAGGTTTAACCACTAGGCCATGAAGCAAAAAGATTCATCAATAACGGTCCATGGCCAAATATGTCCAATATCCAGCTACAAGTATGTACATCTTGGCTCTGTCTCTTCTCTGGGACTCTGGGACCTTTGACAAATCCATAGTTCAACGCGATCCATAGCTGTAAATCGTGACCGGGGTTTCATTCTAAGTCTCGTCGTTAACACCGATTCTATGGTCTTGTGCTATCAATTCAGAGCAGAAATTTCGAATTTTATAACCCAACAACAACTACTTATCTTCTGCGGCTGCTTCTTTCCAGGTTGCGACAGGCTGCAGGGAGAAAATGTCAGCACATGCTCGACTCCCCAGAATAACCCGCGTACCTGCTATTTGTTACACGATGACTTACAACGAGATTCGACATGATATTTCAGTATTAGCTTACGGTTGTTCACTTGCCTCGTTATTTTCCGGCATATATCATCTATCCGCCGCGTGGTTCAGGTCCACATATGAACACCACACCACATCTTCATATACGGCACCCGGCACCGTGTCTTGGGGTCAGGATCCTCAAATGAGGCCTTTAACGCCAAACGCTACCCGTATTGATGATTTTTTTTTTTTACAATGTTACAGCATTCCAAATATCCCTAGCTTCCAACGATAAAAAGAAGTGATAGACGGAGCGAGTCCCGTGTTCAATTCGATCCATAGCCGCCAATCGTGACACGCTGGCCTGTTGTTGCCAAGTACGGAGTAGCAAATTGACGCCCGACGCAGGACCCATAGCTGAGTCAGCACATCTTTGGGCTTTTGAAGTTGCATGTCCGAAACTAATGTTACAACTGTATGTATTGTCCCGTTATGTGGGATGAAAAGTATAAGTTATACTAGTATATATTATAAGCGGTATAAGCCTTAATATATACTTTACCTATTAATTTAATTAAAGTAATTATAATTAATTATAGAAATTAAATACCTCTTTTTAATGTAATTATAAAGGCTTATTTACTAAAAGCTAATATATATATTCTATTACTCTTATTAAAACAATATACACCCCACCTACTAATCCAGCTGAAGTGACTGCAATTAGTTGTGGAAATCGAACAACTACTCGTGCTACGCCCTATATTAGGTTATTCAGCTAGCAAAGCCCTCACCACCTAAGGTGGTGCTTAATACTAAGGCGAGCCACTTAGTAAGCCAGGCTACTTTCTAATTTATAACGCGTTTACCCGCGAAAATAACTATAATAAGTGTTTAAAACATAAAAAGCGAAGTGGAATTACGTGTTATTAACGCTCTTTAATTTATTAACGAAAATCTAGGTGTAAAAGTTCGCGTTATAGCCCGAAAATTTAACGTGTCTTATAGTAGGCTTTAACGATAAATTAATAGCGTTATTACTAGGGAAGGCTATCTAGCAGCTAATATAAGGCTTTTAAGAGAAGAAGAAGTTACTTTATATAATTATATTAATTGCCTTAATAATACGAATTTCACTATATAAGTTAAATTTATTACGAATACTATAAATTACATTTTAAAAGAGA